TTGTTGAATTGCATTTGGCGCTTGCAATGTACATGGCAACACGAGTGTACAGTCACGACACGCATAAGTTCTTAGGAGTTAGTCGTCGTCGCCATCGTCTTCGCTCAGTTGTCGCGGGCGTGGGACGCCGAGGTCGTCGTCGCCGTTGTAAAAGGTGGTCAAATCGACGTCGGGCTCGACCACGAGCTCAATCGACTCGAGGCGCGCGCGCTGAATAGCTTCCGTGTCGTCCATCACTAGCACCGCATGAGATGATGAATGGTTTCATAGAGCTGGCGGCCTAGTACGTACGGCGTGTGGGCGCGTGGCCCTGGTATGTCATGAGCGCTTGGTACGTCTTGAGGTCCTTCTCAAAGGCATCCCCGAGGGCCCTTCGCCTGCGCCCACGTATCAGTCGGATCGAGCACGATAGAGGATGCAACGCACCGCTCTTCCTGGCGCTGGCGCGTGCGAAGGTCCTTCTGCACTAAAAGCGTGTGCTCGTACTGCTCTAGCTCGGTTTGCTACGCATCCCGTGTCGGTGCGACGTCCCGTAAGCTCAAGCGTCCTACCTGCTGCGACGCAAAGTGGGCATTCGCATGCGTCAAGTGGTCTTCGGTGCGCATCCTACACATGGATGCGTGCCATCGACATGGTTATGATGCGAGAATGCTACATGAGGTGCTGCTCGGCATCCTCGAACGCGAGGACGAGCGCTTGAATCGTGTTGCTGCGCACGTCATGAGGAGCCGCATGGATGGCCAACGATAGAGCCTACCGAATCGAGCGCACGTCGTCGGCGATCTGCGTGAGGCTGCCAAAGTTGTGCTGAATGTACAAGGCGCTGTGGGCTTCTTCCGCGACGCGGCGGCGGGTTGCAGCGAGCTTGGCCGACAGCTTCTCGCCGCTAGATGCGCCAACTAGATGAGCGTCATGCATGGTCGAGACGACGCCTGTACCTCATCAAAAGCGCTTTGTGGCCCGTGTGCACTTGGTCTTGGCGGTACGCGAGCGCGGCAAAGAACGGGCCGCCCACGACGTCGTCGGCGTCCTTGGCCCCGAGCGGCGGCGGCGCGCTCTGCACGACGGGGGCGACGACGACCTGCGCCGTCGCGGACGCCACGGCAGTGATCTTCTCCGACGCCGAGTTGACGCTCGAGTGCATGCGGTTGTTGATGTCGATGGACGCGTTGTTGACGCTCGTGAGTCGTGGCCGTGGCCACGGCGCCAAGGCGCTCGGACGCGGTGCTGAGGGTTCACGGCCATGCGCTGGTTCATGTCTACGGCGTGGCCCTCGACCTGCGACTTGAGCTGCTTGGAGCCTTCGAGCACGCGCAGCTTGAGGTTGTCCAGCATGCTACGTCGGTCGCCGTCCCAACTGCCACCCTTCGAAATGAAAAATGCTGCCTTATGGAAAAAACACTTTTTTATTCTTTTTAAATACTCTCATCGCACCTTCTGCCAGTATCTTGCGCGCGCCGATCGCCATTCTTGCGGAAACGTACCACCGGGTCGTAGCTCTTGATCGTCGTGAAGAGCGAGCTGCAGAGGCTGTGGGCACGCTCGCCAGCGACGCAGCGGAACGTCACTGCGTAGCGAGAACGCGTGCCACCTGAACCGCCAGCTTGGTCCCGATCCCGGTCGACACAGGACCATAATAATCACGACGTGGCAAACCAACTGTCAATATTGAACGATAGACCTGGCTGACTTGTCTTTATTACTTTGGACAGGTTGGACGTCCATCGGTGGTGTCGTTGGGATGACAGACGCACCACGTTGTCGCCCTGGCCTGGACCATGGACGCTCGGAGCTCTGGGTTCCGTTCTGCAACCATCGCATATTTGATGACCGAATGCAGTACCGAGTCACACGACCCGTCACAACTGGGCCCCTCGAGTCACTTTACCCGCTCCTCGAGTCACTATACCCGCTCCTCGAGTCACTTCACCAGCTCCTCGAGTCACTTTACCCGCTCCTCGAGTCACACTACATGTTGAAACTGGGCCGCTCGAGTCAGCGCCGAATGTAGCGCCAACAGCTTTCTTGGAGTCCACGGTGTTGACATGAATGGCATGCATCATCCACGCAATGCTAAATACGTGATGAGCTGTGCGTAAAGCAAGCCTTCAATCCGAGTCGCATCTGGAGATTAGTCGATACAATTGTCAAGGTTGCGTTCAAGATTTCTCTCATTAAGGGTGCGAAGATCGATCCAGGGACCGATCGCGCCAAATTCAAGAATTTCAAAGCGACCGATAATGGAGGTATCCTGTACTAGTACTAGTAGTATTATTCAACCAGGCTCGGCACGAGATACGTGATCGTATCAAAGCCGCGGTGCTGGTGGCCGAGAAACCCGCCGGGAGCAAGTTGAGACCCCGGAGCGCCGACCGAGATCGGACACTTTGACACACTTTTTGGCTTGGCCAAGCTTCCACGCATAGACGACGACGAACGACTTGGTTCGAGTAGGTTTAGGTGAAATGAAGTAAAAAGATCGATCACTAAGTATTTACCATGTGCAAGATATTTTGTGAAAGCTCTTGGGAATGTCTGTACCGCCGGCAAAGGACAAAGAATGCGTCAACTGACGAGCGAATAAACACGTGCGAAGGTGACGATAGAGATAACATCAAAGCGGCTTGTGTATCACGGCATCATTTCACGCGTCTATAAACAGACAGGATTTGATTTGTGTTGTCGTCCGTTAAAATGGGCTTCGAGGCCGCCGATTTCCTTCGCGCGCTATCTTGCTGTGCAAGCGCGACGCGTGGGGCTAAACCGGCAATCGGATGCGGCGCGCCTTTAGGAGATGGCGGGGGCGAGCGAAAGCAAGTTACTGTGAATCGCAACTAATTTTACTATGTTCTAAAATTATTATTCACGCGTGGCTGCTATTAGACCCTTGATGCCGGACCATTTGTCAGAGAGTTTACTACCGGGATTACCACTATGGGTTTCTTTTTCTATCTGGTCCATCGTCAAGCTACTCGATCGACCAGCAGCGTTCACGGTCGTGCGCCAGACCTATGTTGCACAAAATGATGCGAGACCATTTTGTATCCATGTATTTTTACACTGCCGATGCAGCATGGAGACCGCCGGATACCATCCGGATCCGAGAGTTTAAGGGTCAGATGTGTCGGCGTCGACGCTGAAACGCCACATTATCTTTAGACCACTGGCGCACACTTTCTCACTCTACTTTGGTCATGCAAACGGCGGCGATTCGCCCGAAGCGCCGGTCGCTCGTCATCGCTTTGCAAGCATCCTTCAAGGTGAGCTCGACGTTTCCATCTAACGTTGATAAACCACGCGAATCGCAGGCGTTCGGCAAGTTAAAATCCATCATTGCCGCCGAGCTCAAGCACCTCGCCAAGCACGAAAAGCTATTGAATGCAACGTGTGCGTGGAAATCCGAGCTGCTGCGGCCACCGTCGGCGCCGCGCATCCGCATCCAAACCATGTCAAAAGAGCGCGTCGTCGGCGTCCTCGCTATCTACTACATCGTCACGGTCGTCCTCGTCTTCACGATCGTCCTGGACCGCACCTCGAGCACGTTTGCGACGCCGCCCGTGACGGCTACCTCGTCCGCGCTGCTCGAAGTGTCGCCGACGACGGAGACGATTAGTCTCGACGTCATGTCAGGCTCGTTGGCCTACCTCGATGCGATCCTTATGAATGCCACGACGGGTCTTGGCAACATAACCATATTTGCCTTCCCCGACACGCCGTCGCAGACCCAAGTGATTCCGTTCGAGAGTCTCATCTGGTCGCCCAGCAGCAGCCAGTCGATTGCGTCGTCGCCCTTTCCGATCGCATACCGCGTCTTGTACCGGCTCAAGGTGGACCTGTACAGCAGCGTGTACATCAACGTCTCGATGAACGATACAGCTCCCTTCACCGTCCACGCTCGGACGGGGTACACGGCGCTGTACATGATGACGATCGTGAGCTCGCTCGTGACGGTCATCAACATCTCGTGTGGAATCTACTTTCGCATGCGCATTCGAGCGGTTGCGATCCCGGGTCAGACGCTGCCGCAATGGGACTGGGTCCAGCTGCATCTTTTGGCACTCTTGCTCTGGAGCTGTGTCCCATACGAAGTCGCAGTCTACAAGGCCGTCACAGACGGCTTGACCGTCGACGAGACCTTTCGTCAGATCGCATTTTGGGTGCGGCTTCTCGGCAAGAACGGGTGTCGGCTCGCGGTGCTGCTCTTCTGCGACGGCATGGCGACCACCAACCCAAGTCGCACGGTGAGATTCTACACCAAAAAGGTAATTGCGGTCGCGGCCCTCACGGTTGTCCAAGGCGCCAGTCAAATCGCGTCGTCGCCCTCGTTCATCATCGCGCTCTTGTACTTGAACACGTGGCTCGAATTTTTCGTGCAGTGTGTCATGGTGCTCTGGCTCGCATACCGCCGAGGGGAGCGCGTGCGTCGCCAGCCGTACCGCAGCGCAACGTTCGAGTACACGACGTACGGCGTCATCTCGATCTTGGTCATTCAGTTTGCGATCGCGTCGGCCTATAGTCTTATTCGCCGCTTGGCGGTTGTCGGCGCGTCGAGTCCGACCGATTCGAGCACGTCCGTGCCCAACGCACAGCAAGCGCTTACGCTCGCGGGCCTCATTCGCGATCAAATGTTTGCGTGGATCGTTCTCATCTGCTACCTCCCATTGCCGCCAGCGTCGAGCGTTCTGGACGAAACCTCGACGGCGTACTCCCTCACCGAGGCGTCGTCGCCGTCGCCGTTCGTCTTTTGCCTCGAGACAGCGGTGACGATGCTCAACCTCTCGGTGGCTAGTTACTACACCTCGCACTTGCACCGCCGCCACTCGCCTTCTTCCTGTGGGCACCTCGGCAAAGACATTCCGGACCTCGACGTCCTCGACTGTACGCTCCTCGCCGCCTTTCACGACGCCCCGACCGACACCAACGGCATGCTTGTCTACGAAGAGCGCAAGCAGCGCTACGTGCTCGCGTTCCGGGGCACTGGTAGCATCAAGAACGCCGCGACGGACCTCAAGTCGCGCCAGATTCGGCTGCCCGGCACGGTCTACGCATCGGAGAAGATCCGAAAACGCACCAAGGGTAAAGGCACCCGGCACTTTGTGCAAGTGCACTCGGGCTTTTACCACGCGTACGTGACGCTGGAGCGGTATCTGCACGCGGCGATTGGCAAGATTCCGGACGAGAGCGTCGTCGTCTGCACGGGCCACAGCCTCGGCGGCGCCCTTGCCACGATCGCTGCCATGGACTTGGCGCTCAAACGCCCTTCGCTGCGCCTTGCTGTGTACAACTATGGCAGTCCCCGCGTCGGCAACCACGCATTCCAGGAGCTCTTCAACGCGACGATGCCAGCGTTCCGCGTCATCAACAACGGCGACATGGTCACGCAGTTCCCCAAGCGAGATTATACCAACGTCGATCGCGACGGCGTCTGCGTCTACAAGCACGTGGGTGTTGAAATCACGCTGCTCTGCGGCGACGACGCGGTGCGAGGCATCATCGTCCGACCAACTGTCGTCGACCGGCTCGTTGTCTTGGCGCACCGCACCAGCCTCGCGAGCCATAGCCTCGAAAACTATCGCAACAGCTTCCGATCGCTCATGGTCCCTGGCACAGATCGCCTCAGCGCCACCCTCTCGAGCTGCAATTCGTCGCGCAGAGCAACCTTTGAGAGCGCGGTCAGCTACAACTCGTCGCGCAGAGCAACCTTAGAGGGCGGCAAATCGTCGCGCAGAGCAAGCATCCAGAGCGTGGTCAATGTCAGGGACCAAGACGAAGAGAAACAGCGCAAGAAAATGACGGCAATGCACGACATCCACCTCGAGCTCTTGATAAATGCGACGGAAGATGCGACCGCTGTGGACCCCAGCGCTGCACACACGACGACTGCTGCCAACACGACCAGATGCTGGGAAATATGAGTTCTTGTATTCGCGCCAGGTACTTTCGTAGCGTTCCAGATCACCAATGGATGCGAAGTGTAGAGAGCGTGACTCGACCTCACAAGGTCGCTGCCACAAAGATCCTGCCGTCAAGTCCTACATGGCGGGCGAAGCTGGCGTGCGCCAGTGGACGACGTAATAGATATGACTGTTGTTTGCTTTCATATACATATACATGGAGTAGCTCTGCGTTAGCGCCGGAGGAGCGTCTCGAATCGGCGCTGCTCGACGGCCTCGCGCTCGCGTCGAAGCTGCTCGAGGCGACTGGAGGAAGACCAATATGACTTGGCTTTCTTCGTCTTCTTGAGCTCCGTGTTCGTCGTGTTACCGGTACAGCCAGGCGCGTCGGCTTTCCGCGTATCGTTTTCGGTGGCCATGAGCACCATGGGCCGGCCCACGATCGCAACCATGGGGTCGGCGCTCGCTGCACGTGGCGCCTAGGTGGTGTCGTTGTCGTCTTGGCTCTGCTGGTGGGCAGGGTTGCGAGGGCGGCTTGCGTCGGCCTATCTAGCAGTGGAACGGGAACAGCGCGCCGCCGAGCGCGATGCCTTCGGCTGTGTACTTCTTGATGCTGGCGACTGGCGGAGGCGCGGTCTCGTCGGGCGCAAAGAGGTCGATGGCCGGCGGCGTCGGCTTGGTCTTCTTGAGCGCCTCGACGCGGCCGTCGAGGTCCGCGTGCGCTTCATGCGGCAGGCAGCGCGCTCTCCCTCTTCGTGCAGCCGCTCGTCGCGCCGGACCTTCCCGATGCTCACTCGAGCATACCACTTCTCGTGCTTGTGGATCCGGCTTGTATAGAACTCGAATGGATGTTTTATTGGCTCAAATCCTGATTCTTTTTAGCCAATCACAAGACTTGGTACACGACCTAGTCTCAAATAGTGTGAGCACCGTTCAGTACAACGACGAGTAGCAGCCCACAGACATGCCAGCGCCACGTAGCAGCAGGGTATACTTCTACACTCACTTCTTGAATGACGTACATGTCATTTCCGACGCTGACCGTAGCGCAATCGCGCGCAAATCCATTTTCCATTTTTCGAGGTGGTGGCAGAATTGCACAAATACTTCACGTGACATCGCGGGGTTCCAAAGCTTCGAGGACCGTAAAACTGGCTGCCACAGTTGGCAATGGGTCTCGACCCAGCGTGCGACCAGCTTCTTGGTCGCCGCCGTTGCTTGGGCACTCACACCAAACTCGAACTGCCGAGCGTCGGTTTTCAGGAAATTCGACATGCAATTTCGGCTGGAAATGCGTCGAAATCGCGGAAACCGAGGACGCTGTCTCTTTTGGTTCATGTAAGAGAGCGTGTTGCATGTGACCGAGGGATGCAAAGTGCGCGCGATACCGCTGTGTGATGAGGCCTTGTATTCCGTACAGTATTTCAGTATAGCGAAACAGCACACTATATCAAAAATTGTTTGCCGCTGTCATTTGCTCTCGCTACAGAGCTCGCACGGCGACGTCACATAGCATTTTGGACTCCCCATAGTGTGGTCTAGCACTCTGGCAAGTATGGGCGATTTCACTTTCAAACTTCATTCTGGCCGATCCGCCGGCGTGGCGGGCCTGTGTTCACCAAAATATGGTAATTATGGTTGAAAATGGCGAACGCCAATACTAATGACATACGACGCCAGAACAACGACGCCGAGGCTCCTCTGGCACCACTGACGCTGCTGCATGATGCTCGAGGTCTACGCACGCGCCATTATGAGGTGTCGCTTGTTCGCAATGCAGCGTGCCTCGTCGATCTCCCTCACTTTTGTCAACGCCAGGCCAACGCGTTCAGGTCCGCAGCATGGTGCTGCGGACCACTTTCAAAGCTACCAATCACATGCCGAGAAATATAGCTGCAGAGCAAATCAATCCGAGACCACCCCCATACCACGATGTGTTGCTTCCTGACCGGCCGTTGAAGGATTCCAGCGCCACGCCTCACGTACTGTCCGACAAGCATGAGTGGAAAGCGTCGTGCAAGTGGTAGCAAGGCCTCTACGTGTAGCTCATCGCTGGGCCATTTCGCTTGCCAGACAGAATCCATAGCGTGGACACGTTTGATTGGGTAGAAATAGGTTTTTTCAGCCAATGGCCTTTGACCCTAGCAGTTGCACGACCGGTTTCGATGCGCATTTGGACGAAGGTAGCATGAGCGACGACGAGCCAACGACGCCGACAACGCGCCGCCTCACGCGCAGCATGACCAAGGCAGGCGTCACGGACGACACGGCGCCATCGCCCAAGAAGGCCAAGAAGACCGCCAAGGCGCCGGCCAAGCCCGTGCCCAAGCTGCTCTACGGCCAAATCGACCCCATTGCACAAGAGGCGCTTGCCGCCAAAGGCAAGACGTCACTGTCGCTGATGCTGGGCGCTGACGGAGCCCGCGTCGACGCGTCACTGGCGCTCGTAGACATTGCCAAGAACATGGACAAGTACTACCTCCTGCAGGCGATCCGCGCCGAGCCCGACGCCGCGTTCTTTGTGTTTGCGCGCTGGGGCCGGACCGGGTCCGCGGGCCAGAGCAAGCTCGAAGGTCCATTCTCAACCAGCGACGAGGCCCAAGCCGAGTTCGACAAGAAGTTTCTCGAAAAGACGGGCCAGGCGTGGGCGGCGCGGTCGGCGTTCGAGGTGCAGACCGACAAGTACGACCTCCTCCACGTCGACTATGGCGCCAAGAACGGTGGTCTCTGGGAGTACTACATGGACGACCACGTGGATGGCAAGGCCACGGGCTGGTACGCCTACACTGACGAGGGCGTGAACCAGACCGAGATGCTCTGGTCGACGTTCCAGTCCAACCAAGCGTACAACCGGCGCATCGTGGCGTCGGGCTACTTTTCTTACATGGTCGACCTCCAGAACATGACGCAGATGAACATTTCGAGCAACAAGACGCGCCACATCCGCCGGACCTTCAACGGCATCATCACAGCGTCCGCGGCGGCTCAGTCGCTCCCAATTGAGACCGTCGCACCACCTGCCGACGCCGAAGACGACGAGCGCGATAGCGACAACGAAGGTGACGAAGCGTAGCTTTCGTCAAGTAGAAATGTACTAGTAGTGTCGACGCATCACCGCTCATTCTTGATGGCATCGTCGTAAGCAGTTGCCAACATACACGCTGTGACTCAAGTCCAAACTCCTTTCGCCTCTCATTATAGTCGATTCTAGCTCGCAGGTTTGGCTGCGACAGGCTTCGTTCAACTCGAGCTCGGCGCTTCGCCACGCCATCTTCGCTCTGCATTGGGCCTCTTTGATAAAGTCTTTAAGTTCAAAGTGAAGATTTCCGTGGCGCTGGCTATCGTCACGCAAAGTGGCGCAATATGATTGGGCGAAATGATCACGAAATGGTCTTCACCAGACTGCATCGTGAGTTTATAGACGCGCGATCTCGGGCATGGCCACCACAGCGGCGAGTAAAAAGGCCAAAGCTGTCTTCTGGGACAAGGACAAGTGCGCCAAGCCGTCGTGTCGGTGCGGCAAGTCGTCGATCGAGGTCCTCCTCGACTGGCTCTCGGTCACGGACAAGGACGGTCGTTTCGTCAACTACCTCCGCTGGAAAGGCGGCGTCAAGCCCAAGAAGAAGGGCGCTGAAACAAAAGGCAATGTCGCCTCGAGCATCATTCGCATGCTCCAGGACGACCACAACCTCGTCCGCAACCAAGAGGCGGTCCTCGCCAAGCTGACAGAGCTGCACACGTCGCACAACGCCGCCCGCGACTTCCTCGAGGACACGGGGCGCCGTGTCCGCGACCGCCTCGACGCGCAGTACGCCGACAAGACCGATCCTGCCTACATTGCGCAATTGGCACCGGTTCAGGTACGTTTTGCGATGCATTTGACGTAGTACCATAAAAAATGACGCAGGCAGCGGCACTGAAGCTGTGCAAGCACTATGACACGCTCGCCCCCATCATGGCAGACCGCCCCGACGCCCGCCCCGACGCCCGCCCCGACGCCCGCAACGGCAGTAAAAACGGCAGTGAAGATGGCAGTGGAGACGGCAATGAAGACGGCAGTGAAGACGGCAGTGGAGACGGCGAGGGTAACGAGCAAGGCGTAGGCGACGTCGTCGCACAGGAAGACCAGAGGGACGCTGCTGCGGGTGACCATATTGCGCTAGCAAACGACAGCAGTGGCGATGAGCTCGAGCAGCACGAAGCGCTGAGCGACGACGGAAGCAGCTCTGAAAACGCCCGACCGCCTCCCCGCGGCCAAAGAAAGCGGTCAAGCAGCAGCGACAACAACCCGGCGAAGCGCAGGACGCCGGTGAAAAGCCTCGTGCGACAGCTGGACGCACAGATCACAGCGGGCGACCGAACGGCCAAGGAGCTGGTGGCGCTACGCACGTCGGAGCTTGCACACAAAATCCAAGTTCGCGAAGAAGAGGTTCGCTTGCGCCGCGACGCCCACAAGCTCAACGTACGCACGCAACGACACGCCGAGATCATGGCGATTGCAGATTTGCGGCGCCAGTTGGGTCTTCCGGCGCAGGACATCTTGGACTACGTCGATAGCGCGACGCGTGCACTGGACGCCAGCTAACAGACGACTAACTGGAACGGTTTGCATACTATTGGACAAGTCGTCTGTAGCCTCTGCTTTAAATGGACAAGATGTTTGGAGTGCCTCGTTCCGACGTGTTCCCGTGACGCAAAAAGCAAATAGACGCTAGTACATGCTATCGATGGCCTCCGAGTTGTCGAGGAAGAGCATGAAAAGCCGGTTGAGCGGCCCGAGCTCGCCGTAAAAATCTGTTGAAGTGCCGGCGTCAGCTCCTTGTGGGCGCGGACCTGCGACATCATTTTGGTGTCGATCACGTGGCTGCGCTGCAGGTTGGCCGTGATGGTCTTGGCCGCAACCACCCGCGTGGCCCACGCGTCAGCAGCCGCCATGCGCCGAAACTCGGCGACGAGCGGTGCGAACAGCGGGCCCTCAACGACCCGCTGCACGTGCTCCTACCCAGTCTCAAAAGCTGTATAAACGGTAGTACTTTGGTACCTTGATTGAGACGCGGAGGGCCGCATAGCGGTCGAGAAGGACCGCGCGAAGAGCCATTTTGAGCGCCTCTTCTTCTTGCTGCTGCTGCAGTAGCTTGACCCGCTGGCGTGGCTTGCGTGGCTTGGCTCGGCCGACCGGCGACGAGCCTCTAGCGACAGGCGATGGGCCTCTCGCGACGGCAGGTGACACGCCTGTACCAGCCACAACCAAATAAATGTCTGTCCTTTTCCGTGGGAATTTATCGCACCAAGGGACGTCGGCCGCTGACCAAGCTGCGGCAAGCGACCGCGTGCCTTGGAGGGCCCGTCGTTCGCCGCGGGTGCGTCTATAACGCAGGGCCATGCGTCGAGTGGCTTGACTCCAGCGCGCACCTAACGTCACCGCCACGTCGACCGATGGTGCGACCGGTGGCAACGGCGCGGTCAGCACGACCGGCATGGGTACGAGGCGGGCCTACGAGTCGCCCTCAACGACAAGGAAGTCGTGCGGCAGGCGGCGTACGTGCAGCGCATCCATCTCTGTCATGAGGAGCGCCACTGCGTCTTTGAACGCGGCTGCCGTCGCAAACACGTCTCTCGGCTCCTTGTCGCCGGGCGGTTCTGCCAAGAGCGTGCGCTGCACTTTCTCACGGAGGCGCTCGCAAGCCGTTATCGTGGAAGTATACAGCGTCCAGACGGTGCGGTACGCCTCCGTGGTGACGTCGGGGCTCGACGTGGCGGCCACCCACGCGTACTGCAGCGTCGTCATGATGAACTCGTCGAGCACCATCGTGCCGCGCACGTAGATGCGTGGATCCGACGTCCCTAGCGCCGCGCCTATATGCGTCGTGAGGAAGACTCCAGCTGTTGGCCACACGAGTCGACCGAGCAAGAGCCCGTAGACGGCGGCGACGGCCGTATGGGGGTGCTGGAACGGCGCGAGATTGGCCGAGGCGTCGAGAACCGAGTCCGTTGTTGCCAGCAAATGCCACACGATCGCCATCGTCGTGAGGCTATGCGCTACATCGCATGTGGCGTCGAGTCCTCCGAGTAAGAAAAGACGTACCGCTGGGGGCATGCAATTGAACCTCCATTGGAAGCGTCTGCGGCAATTGCCGCACCACCTACAACCTCGCCGCCTTGCGTCGCCGCCAAGAGGATGGTGGCTACGCACCCGGTCGACGACGGGGCAGAGCGGCGACGACTCCCAGTAGTCAGAGCCGACACCTTCCGGCACGAAGGGGTGGGTCAGGCACACTGCCCGCGGCACGCCTTGGAGCAAGCCCAGATACAAGAGGACCTACGTGGATACAGAAGGCGGCAGTACAGTGCAGTGGCGTACGAGGTAGCGCACGACGTCGAGCGTCTCGACCGATGCGTCCGTCGCACGGCAGACGTTGAGGGCCACACGCAGCGCGAGGCGCGGGTGCATAAAGTGCATGGCGGCCTCACCAAGAAGATAGGATCGCATGGAATGACAATGGAAGGCGTACCGCCGCCAGACAGCGGGGGAGGCACTCGTCAACGGGCACGGCCTCCGAGCTCGGCGGTCGCCCGCTTTTAAGGCACGTGATGGCCTCGTCAGCGTACGGGCTGCGCTTGCGTAAGAGCACGCCACAGTCCCAAATACCTACGCACTTAGCACGCACTCCATGGCGACACGAGCCTTGTACCGTCGTCGCGCCACGTCACCACGCTCGCTGCTACGCTGGCGACGTTCAGCTGCGTCGTGAGGCCGCTCGAGACGGTGCAGAGGAGCATGCTCTAGCATCGCATCGTGTCGGCAGCGTAGCTTCATGGAGACATAGGACGTACGCCGTGGTAGCCCCACCCGACGTAGGCGGCGCTCTCATCGGCTTGCGCGGCGCCGTCATAAAGCACGCCGAGGAAGAGACTCGATACAAAGCGATCCCGCGCGGTTGGTCGCTCGACGCAGAGTTCTTCGGGGAGGCCAAGCATGGTCTCGATCTCGGCGTTTAGCATGCGCCCGCGCTCTTCCTGTTGATTGTAAGCAGCCAGCGCTGCCCCGTAATCGGCTTGATTGAGCGCGACGCCAACGAGACTGGCGCGGCGCAAGGCCATCGCTGCGGTTACACAACTGTGTGCTTGGATACGACCATCGTCGTTCGAGGCAACTGAGAGTGATGGGTTTTTGGATCTTAGAATCAGAAATGCTAGCTTCATTCACGCGAAGGGACACCACCAATTCTCACTTTCAATCAATTAATATCTATCGATCGATCGATCGACATTGCATGCTTGGGCAAATGCCAGATCAGTTTCCGATACACTCTACAGTGATTGCATGCTTGGGCAAATGCCAGATCAGTTTCCGATACACTCTACAGTGGCGATTCGCACATTTTGCGATATCTGTTGTCCACAAAACTCACGTTTACAAAAACCATTCTGGTACGTGTTAAATAATGCCATTTTTACGTGGCAGTGGCCCTCTCTATTTGTACTTGTCCGAGATTCGCTCGAGCGTCGTCAGAATCGACTCCATCTCGTCGGCGGGGTTGACGGCGTGGTGGAGCTCCTTGAGTTTCAGCGGCTCTTGGTTGCCGGCCGTGACGACGACCGATGGCGCCTTCGTGCGCAGAAGCGGCGACTTGCGCGCTTCCAGCGTCGCAATGTACGCGTTGCGGTCGCGCAGCTGCATTTCCATGTGCTCGCGGTCCTTCTTCATGCGCTTGTACTTGCTCAGCTGGCTCTGGTACTGCCGCTGGAGCGTCTCAATCTCTGCGACGAGCTCCTTCGTGTGCGTCTCGACCACCCGCTGCATGTGCTGGAGCTGGGCTTCGTGGCCCGCGCTGCCTTGGGCTGCGACCGACTGCATTTTCGTCCGGAGCGACTCGTTCTCCTTCTTGAGCACGTGGTGCATCGACCGCGCGTCGCGGTACTTTTGTTCAAGCACCTTGTACCCTTCCCGGTCCGCTTCGTACTTTTGGATCTAAAAGCGCCATGAGACATGACTCGCTACAGACAAACGATGGACGACTACCTTGAGCTTGGCCGCTTGCACCATGGCGCGCAACGCAACAAGGTCTGTTCGGTCCTTCTTGGATTCTGCGAGTACGTCCGCAAGCCGCTTGTCGAGCGTCGACGCCTGCTCTGCCGCGCGCTGCTGCCGCTCGAGGAGACCGCGCAGCTTGAGTTCTCCCGACTTGCGCTTGGCGACTTCGGCCTCGAGGCGTTGAATCGTGGTGTGTTGTTCGTGCACCTCGGTCGTGAGTCGCGGCAGGTCCGCGGCCGCCGCAACTTGGGACGTCAGCGACGCGTTCTGCGCCTCGAGGGCCGCCACGTTGGCGACAACCGCCGCATGGGTCGATTGCAACGCCGCCAGCTGCGACGCCGCATCGCTTGAGGTCGCCAGAAGCTGCTCGTTGGCGCGCAGCTGCGTCTGAAGTTCGTGCACTTGTTGCTGCCACACTGCCTTGAGTTCGACTTGGCGCTCGAGGCGCGCGCATTCGGCGCGTAGCGACTCGGCTTCGGCGCGTGCCGCCGCGAGCGCGTCTTCGTCGCGGAAGAGCTCTTGGAACCCGACGTCCAGGTGGTGGTCGAGGAAGCCACGACATTGCTGCAACTGCGCCAAGTCGTCTTGGGCCGTCGCAACTTCTTTTGTCAGCCGCGCGACCGTCGCTTCGAGCTGCTGGTTGGTGTGCACGAGCGCCGCGTGCTTGCGGCTCTGGTCCTCGAGCTTGGCGTTAAGCGTAAAGATGCTGCGATCCTTCTCCGCGATGGTCCGCGTGCTCTCGGCGAGCTGCGACTGGAGCGACGACGTGCGCTGGAGGAGTGTGTCCTTGTCGGCCTTAAACTGCGCTTCGAGGCGCGACTGGATCAAGCGCACTTCGTCGCGAAGCGTCTTGACAAGGATTGACTGCCCGGACGCGCTCGTGGCGGCGTGGGCCTGCTTTAGCCGCAGCGCCATCGACTCGACCTGCTTGGTGGCGTCGGCGTACTTGGTCTTCCAGTTCGCCGCGTCGTCGGCCGAGGCAGCGCACGCGGCCGCCACTGCATCGTGCTCGGCACGGAGCGTTTCGAGCTGTGTGTGGAGGGATTCGAGAAGCGACTCTTTCGAGCGAATGGTGGCCTGCGCGGCCGCGAGGTCGCTGGAGAGCGTCGACGTTGTCGTCGCGGTTGACGCTTGCGCTGACGACGCCGTCGCACGCAGCTCGCTGACGAGGTCGTCCTTGGCCGCCAGCTCCTCTTCGTACTCGCGCTTGAGCTCGCGGTTTGCGTGCACTTGGGCTTGGCACTCGGTCTGGAGTGTCGCGATCTGGCGCTTCCACGTCTCCTCCTTCTGCTTGTAGCCTGTCTCGAGCGACTCGATCGCAGCGCTAAAGCCCTCGATGCTGTTGGCTGCGTCCTGAATCTGCACCTCGAGCTCACAGTTGTGCACTTGGAGCTCGCGCTTCTCGCGGCGAAGGCGCTCGACCTCGTCCATAAAGTCGTTGCGCGAGGCGGACGCGCCGAGGGCCTTGGGCGGCGTCTGGAACGTCGAGCCGTTCGCGGCCTGCTGCTCGCCGAGTAGCCTACAGACACGGACATGAGGCCAAGGTCGGCGAGGACGCGTGTACCTTCGGAGGCGGTCCATCTCGGCGGCCTGCTGCACCTCGCGCTGGCGCAGGACGTGGAGCTGCTTGGCGAGCATGTCGAGCTGGGCCTTCTCGGGGGATGGCGAGACAGGAGACCGCGCCGGGGACGCCGACTCGGCCGTCGGCGGCGTCACGTACGACGGACTGCCAGGTCGCCGCGTCGTCCGCTGTGGCGTAGCGTACATCGTGTAAAACCAGAAATCGCCTTGGGTTAAATTCATTCAAATCCAGAGCCCGTCATGGCGCTTTCAATAAAAACAAATCCTTTGACTATATATTTGTATTAAACATAAAATCGTTGAATTGTACGACTCGTTTTGGAGGGAGATGGCGGGGTAAAAGAGGGCGCCAATATCCTCGTCGCCGATTGGCTGTAACGATGACACGGGCGCGTTTGATTGGTTGCCGCTTCTTGTTTGGCGCGCGCACCAGTCAGCGCCTGGGAGACGCCGACAACGGCCTTGCCCATCGCTCAGGTGGGTAGAGGTTCGGACAACAACCTCGATCTATCTCACGGCTACGGACGGCGAAGAATTGTACTATTGGTATACTAGTACTCTATATAATGTGTACAACTTGTCTGCGTGTAGACCGGTGGTCGTAACTGTCGAGAGGCAGGTGGCGAGCTCTCTGGCGCTCGTCGCACTCCCCGTGCTTGCGCTCCGGCTTGTGATCCAAGCGGAGGCAAGAACATGCAACTTTTACTGCTCATCGCAATACGAGCAGGGTGTTGAACTAGGCTCCTGCGGAGTGGGCTGGTAGCAAACCTCTTTTTGAGAGGAAGTAAAACTGACGTAGATGTATAATAAATTCTACTATACATCCTAGGGGCATAGATATGTCCTCGGGATGACAGGTCTTCTCTTGTTGTACAATGTATTCGCGCCAGGTACTTTCGTAGCTCTCCAGATCAGACCTGGATGCAAAGTGAATAGATCGACCTCACGAAGTCACTGCCTAAAAGATTCTGCCGCCAAGTCCTACTTAGCCGTGGCGTGCGAAGCTGGCGTGCGCAAGTGGTCGACCCAATAGATATGACTGTTGTTTGCTTTCATATATATATACATGGAGTAGTTCTACGTTAGCGCCGGAGGAGCGTCTCGAGACGGCGCTGCTCGAGGCGACGGGAGGAAGACCACGATGACTTGGCTTTCTTCGTCTTTTCGAGCTCCGTGTTCGTCGGGTTACCGGCACAGTCGAGCGCGTCGGCTTCCCGCGTGTCGTTGTCGGCGGCCATGAGCACCATGGACCGGCCCACGATCGCAACCATGGAGTCGGCGGTTGCTGCACGTGGCTCCTCGGTGGTTTCGTAGTCGTCTTGGCTCTGCTGGAGAGCAGGGTTGCGAGGGCGGCTTGCGTCGACCTATCTAGCAGTGGACCGGGCACAGCGCACCACCGAGTGTGATGCCTGTGTCTGTGTACTTGTTGCTGGCGACTGGCGGCGGCGCGGTCTCATCGGGCGCAAAGAGGTCGACGGCCGGCGGCGTCGGCTTGGTCTTCTTGAGCGCCTCGACGCGGCCGTCAAGCTCCGCTAGCGCTTCTCGCGGCAGGCAGCGCGCTCTGCCTCTTCGTGCAGCCGCTCGTCGCGCCGGACCTTCCCGATGCTCGCTCGAGCATACCACGTCTTGTGCTTGTGGATCCAGCTCGTTTGGAACTCGAATGGCCTTGATTTATTCTAGCCAATCACAAGACCTGGCCGACCTCGGCTTAAATAGTGTGAGCACCATGCAGCACAACGACGAGTAGCAGCCCACAGACGCGCCAGCGCCACGTAGCAGCCGGGTATACCTCTCCACACACTTCTTGAATGACGTACATGTCGTTTCCGACGCTGCACGTAGCGCAATCACGGGCAAATCCATTTTTCATTTTTTTAGCTTGCCCAAATACTTCACGTGACATCGCGGGGTTCCAAAGCTCCAAGGACCGTAAAACTGGCTGCCACAGTTGGCGATGGGTCTCGACCCGGTGTGTGACCAGTTTGTTGGTCGCCGCCGTCGCTTGGGCACTCACACCAAACTCGAACTGCCGAGCGTCGGTTTTCAGGAAATTCGACATGCAGTTTCGGTTGAAAATGCGTCGAAATCGCGGAAACCGAGGACGCCGTCTCATTTGGTTCATGTTATAGAGCGTGTTGCATGTGGCCGAGGGAGGCATAGTGCGTGCAATACCGCTGCGTGAGGAGGCCTTGTATTCCGTACAGTATTTCAGTATGGCGAAAAAGCACACTATATCAAAGAATTGTTTGCCGCTGTCATTTGCTCTCGCTACAGAGCTCGCACGGAGACGCCACATAGCATTTTGGACTCTCCAAAGTGTGGTCTAGCACTCTGGGAAGTATGGGCGATTTCATTTTCAAACTTCATTCTGGTCGATCTGCCGGCGCGGCGGGCCTGTGTTCACCAAAATATGGGTATTTATGGTTGAAAATGGCGAACGCCAAGAATACTGACCGACGCGGCCAGAACGACGACGCCGAAGCTCCTCGGGCACCACTGACGCTGCTGCATTGTGCTCGAGAAGACTCCATCAGCATTCTCTACGAACACGCCATCATGAGGTGTCGCTCGGTCGCAATGCAGCGTTTCTCGTCGGTCTCCCTCATTTTCGTCAACGCCAGGCTTCAGCCAATCAGAGCGACAAGGCTTGAGATTTGTGGCCAATCAGAGCAGCAAAGATTTCGCTTTCGAGCCAATTGCCAGTGTTCTTGCCGCAGCTACCGAACCGATCGCCGCCTGCCGATGTACGTGGCAAGCCGTGCGCAGGCCTCAGGCCGAGGCGCTCATGCGACGTCGCTGTAGGTATGGCGCAGCCTATCTATGCGTGACGAGCCACCGAGTCGGCCCTTGGGCGGAGCCCTGGCCAACATTTCGACGGCCTCTCTCGCACGTCGGCCACGGGATCATCTCCGAGATGCGCTCCTCCAAGCTCCCAAGACCTGCGACGACGCTGCAAGCGATGGCGCGATATTCTAGCATCACGACTGCCGCGACATCATGCGCGTCCAGAACGGTTAGCGCGACAGCCACATCCGATCCGACGGCGTCATCCCCATGGCGCAATGAACGACAGGACTCGCAACAAGCGCAGGTAACCTCGTGCAATCACACATAGAGCAGAACCGACATGCCCACGTGTATGTCAAGTGTGAGCTTATGCGTCCTCGACGCCGAACGCGTACTCGAGCGTGCCCTCGGAGGCTTCAAGGTGCACGGCGCACGCCAACACACTCTTCGCCGACGACGGCGTGAGCGGGAGAAACCGGACGGCTTGCTTGGACTCGACTTGCGACGGACCGGTCGTCACCACATGCTTCTGGTCGCCGTTGAGGTCGTACTCGACCCAGAGAATGACAGCGTTCATGACCACGTCCTTGTTTGTGATGGCCTCGGTCCACTGCTTGGTAAACGACTGAATACGCTCCGAGAAGCGCAGCGGCAGCACCTCGAAGGGCGCTGTCGCCGGCGTGTACGGGTACATGTACGTCGGGAACGGAAAGTCGCGGCGGAGATACCCGCCCTGGAGGGCGTCGAACGCGCTGTGGTCAAAGCCGCTGACGCTTGCGACGTGGCCAAAGCACTCGTGGAGGTGTTCGAACGCGACGCCCATGGCCATGACGCGGCCTCCGTGCGGCACAATCGCCGCTTGGGGCGACAACAAGTCTAGTACAACACGGACAATGTCGTCCAAAAGTGCCAACATCAAAAGGTGACATACCGTGGACGGCCGACCGGCGGTACCAAAAGTTGAGGCCTTGCCAGATCGGGAGGTTTTGCATCGCATAGTAGAAAGGCTCGCCGACAAGCACATCAACGGGCGCCGCGCGGTGCAAGTGCTCGTGCAGCAGCCCCTTGACGCCCGAGTGGAGAATCGTGATTGCATCGCTCAGGTGGTTGCCGTCCACGAGCTGCTGGAAGATGCGCGACGAGACCTCCTTGGACTCGATCGACGTGACCGACGGCGTCGTGGTGGCCGCGAGGAGTGCGCACATGGACCCGTCGCTAATGTCGAGGACGTTGGACGCTGCGGTCGTCACCGCGGCGATGGCGTCGCGGTACGCCGCCGTGCGCGCGCTCGTGTTGAGCATGCTCAGCCGCTCGGCGTTGCAGATGAGGTGCAGTCCGCACACGCACGGCGGCACGTCATGGTCGACCTTGAGCTTCTTGGGCGGCGAGAGCGGCGCGTGGACTTGGAACCAGACGCGAAGCGAGTCGTGGAGCGTCACGAGGCTGAGTACATCGCCTGGCGCCACACGGCGCTGGGCCGCCAGCGGGAACGCCACCGGCACCCAGTGGTCTTGCCACTTTTGGACGCCCGGCGCCGTCGAGTACGTCACGCCGTCACCAAAGTCCACCGTCCAGCACATGACGACGGCGTCCAGCGAGCCTTCGCGGACGATCGCGACGCTCGTGAGTGCGTCGGTCGTGATCGAAGCCGCGACGGGCGCGTGGCGCGTAAAGTCCAACGTCAGCACGTCCACCGAATGTGACAAATCGATCGGCGCAATATGCGCGTTGGTCGTGTGCAGCGGCAGCGCGACGCGGCCGCCCGTGCACGTCCACGCCGCGTTGTTGCGCGCGAGGCGAACGTTCTCGGAAAGGTGCGTGCCCGCCACCGAGTTCATCCGGAAGAGCGCTTCGCTCTGCACGAGCTTGGCGTGGACCGTCGCGATGCGCGGAATGATCACGGGCTCGTCGCGCACGAGGAGGTGTTCGCGCGCGTGCTGGAGCGTCGGCAAGATGCCTTCGCCGAGGAGGAGCGAGTCAAAGAGCTCGGACACGAGCATGTCGGCGCGGACCGGCATGTCTTCGGGGATGCGCAGGTCCGTCGACCGCTTCGGCAACACCGTGATGATCGACGCAAAGCCGTTCTCGGCCGTGACGCTGGACGCGATCTCAGCCATGGTCTCAAACATCTCGCACGCGTACACGTGGGCGGCGCCGTGCTTCGCAGCCAGCATGGCCTAGTATCGTGCGTCAGTAGGAAGATGGGATGCCAAAGATAAGCTACCAAGAGGCCCGTGCCCGTGCCAATGTCGAGCACGATCGGCGCGCGCTGGTGCTTGGCCGTAAAGGCGGCGATGCCAATGCGGATGCCATGCTCGTAGGCCCCGTTGCGATCGGTATCGCGGAGCATCGAGGTCATCTGGCTCATGGAGACGACGTTCTTGTACGTCTCGGACGCATCTTCCTCCTCGACCCACATGAGACCGCCGGCTTCCGGGTTCAAGCGCGACGCGAGCACGACGCTGGACGAGCCCTCGACGAGGTCGCCGCTGTCTTCATCCACGTACGAGTAGGGCATGCTCGTGACGATGGTCTCTTCCGCGCTCGCCGTGTCGAGGATGTCCTCGAGGTTGGGCGCCGCTGCGTCGTCGGCCTTGAAGTCCTCGCCGACGACGGCGCCGCTGTACTTGTCCGCGCCGTTGTACATGCTGCCAATCTCCAATTATGAAAAATCATTGGCCGAGTATGTTTGTCCCATTTTGCACGTTGGGACAATCCTCACCATTGACGTGCAACAAACCAGTGTACGCGTGGTACACCGAGGTTTGTCCCACGTGCAAACTGGGACAAACGATGATTGCCCATCACAGCCGATCTTGTCTACTGGTCGTGATGCCGTAGCAACGACTACGAGGCTGGCGTCTGCACAAACTCTACCGGTTTTCATTAGCGACAAATTTATCTCTACTTGGTGTACGTCCGGCGACCACCAAACTTGGCCTGGATCGCAGTCGAAACCACATCGTGGAGGCGCGTCTCGAGGTCTTCCGACCACATCTCGTGGCCCGGGTGGTCTAGACATTCCCACTGGGTTGACTGCATTCGAAGAGAGTCTGAATGTCGTACCGCGCAGCTGCTGCACAAGCGATGGCTCGTCGGCTTCCAGCGTCGCCATCACATGTCGGACAACGTCCCACACCGGCACCGGGTTGGGCAGCCGCAAGATGAACTGGTTGGCAATGATGAACGCGCCGACGACGATCGCCGTGTCGTCTTCGCGTTGGAACGGGCGCTACCCATCGAAACGCTAAGAAACGAGCCGTCGGATGTGCCATCGACCTACTTGGTTGAAAAACTGCTGCACGAGCTCGCGCGAGTCGAGGACGTCTTGGTCCTCGGGCTCGGTTTCGAGGCCAAAGCCTTTGGCCATCGTTACGTTGCCGTGCACGACGTGGCCGTCAATGATGGTCGCGCGGATGTGCTGCATGCACTTCCACAGCGCCGCCTTCTGGAACGGTGGGCCTCGGACCGACGCGCCGGGCGCCAAGCAGTCGATCGGCGGGTACACCTACTCGACTCTTTGGTTAGAGCTTGTAGCAATAATATGTGAGTAAAGATGCAGCATACGCGACGGAGGTTGAGGCCCGAGTCGAGTGACACGTGGTCGTCGACCATGGACAAGAGCGCCTCTTGGAAGGCTACATAGTTCTTAGTTGAAATGCATCGCCTTGTGCAGGGAGGTACCGCTCGCGACATCTTCTTTGCCCGGCGTGTCGGCCAGCACGATCGTCGAGAGCGATGTGTCGCCGCGCTTGGCCGAGAACTGCGTCGAGCGCTCCATCAAATTGGCGTGGCCGCTGAAGCTCGTGCGCGCCGCTTTGGGCAGCTTGATGGCCTGGATGAGGCTTTCGACCACCATCGTGTGGGCCGAGAGGTCATCGTAGAGCACAATGGCCTTCTGGCCGTCGCGGAGCCAGCTTTCGGCGATCGTGCAGCCGGCGAACGGCGCGAGGTACTGCATGATGAGCGGCTGGCGGTCGTCCGCAGCGACAAGCGTCGTGTACTGGAGCGCGTCGAGGTCGTTGAGGAGCTGCACGATCTGGTTGACGCGCGCCGGGCTCTTTCCGACGGCCACGTACACGAAGCGGGGCATCTCCGAGAGGTTCGTGGCGTGTTTCTTGATTTGCTGGGCAATCATATCGATCGCAAGCCGCGTCTTGCCGCTGCCGCTACGCACACGCAACAATTATTGTGAGCGTCAATTCGCATCGTAATGGTCGAGTCTACCGAGGCCCGAGCACCGCAAAGCGTTGGCCAAAGGCAAGCGGGTGGAGGCAGTCGATGACATGGATGCCCGTCTCCCACGGGTGCTTGAGAAGCCCGCGCTCCATCATGGTCGGGATCGCAGCGCGCATGCACGGATGCTTGACCGCGTCGTCGACGGGTCCCTTGTTGTCCATGGCCTTGCCGAGCGGGTCGATGACCTAGAGCACGTGTATGTGATGCACGGCAATTCCACGTAACGTCGTCATACGCGGCCGAGGAGCCCATCGCCCACGGGAATGCGGAGGTTGTTGTCGGCGAGCTCCACGTGCATGCCGAGCGAGAGCTGGCTCGCGTCGCCAAAGACAGCAATGCGCGCGCGCTTCTTGGCCAAGTCGAGAACGATCCCTTGCCCGACCTACATGAGCGCAATGGCATCGAGAGACGTGCTGGAGGATGTCTTACCAACTGGCCATCTTCGTCAAAGATGTGGACCGTCGAGTTGAGCGAGGCGTGCTTGAGGCCCGAGACAACGCCGACGCCTTGGGTCAGCGCCAAGAGGAGGCCCGACTCGGCGAGCTCGTCGCCTTCGCGCATGATGGCCTCTTCGAGCTGGATCTCGACGGCCGACTTCTCTTCGAGCGAGCTGCGAGCGATCTTGAGGAGCGCGTCCTCCTCCGCCTGGGTGTAGCCATAGGACGAGGATGTCGAGAACGCGCGGAGCGCCGGCGAGCGTGTCGCCCGGCGCGCCATGGCGCCGACGGACAGTGTCACAGCCTTGCGTAGCATCTCGTGTGTGGTGCTCGTGGTGATTGGCTCGTGGCTGTAAATCCGGATTCTACCGGATACGCTCTCTGAATTCACTTAGCCAAGTACAAGCAAAAGAGCGCGCTTTTGTCGCGTCCTATCCGAAGCCGTGAGTGTACTGCATAGGGAGTTGTGTCGGAGGCGTCGAGCACCCTCCGAGCCCGGAAATAGTGTCGACATGTGCATGTGCATGGCGCGTAGTCGACGACAATGTTGTCCGTATAAAACCATCTTTATCCAGATTTTTATGGGAAACTTCGTCCTCGCGAGTCCCTTCTGAGCCCTAGGCTTGACGCGCTCACTCAAGCGCCTTTGCATCTGGTCTTTCATTGTCTGTGCATGCTACCAGCAACCGACAACCTCCAGTGCTTTGAGTTTTGGGACTAATCAGATGTCCAATATGAGTGACGGTCTCTTGAAGGTAAGAGTGGTGGTACCACGGCTTGTCATCGTTCACATCGGATCCCATTTCCAAAGATTGACCATGGCCAAAGATTGACCATGGCCGCCAAACGCAAAGCTCAAGCCGCTACGCTCGTGGAAGCGCCGCCCGCCAAGCGCTCGACGCGCAGCAGCACCGCCAGTGCCTCGACGGCCCCTGCGCCCGTGGCCGACACCAAGCCGACACCCAAGGCCAAGACGGTCAAGTCGACGACCAAAGCCGCGGCCAAGACATCGACGAAGGCGACACCCGAGACCAACGAAGC